CAGAAAAATGTTTAAAGAAATGGCCAAAGATTTCCAAATTTCACAAAAATATAAACCCCACAGTTCAAGAAGCTTGAGAAGCTCCAGGTATGATACATACACATACACACACATGCACACTCAAGGCTTATCATAATTAAATTGTGGAACACCAATGATGATAAGAAAATTTAAAAGCAGCTAGAGAGAAAATAAACACACATTGTGCTCAGAGTCATCCTTAGTAATTATTTTTCCTCCTTTCTACATCCATTCCATAAGCAACTCTTGCAAATGGGCTTTAAAATGTAACCACTTAATGTAACCAAAAAGTTCACATCAGAAACTATACAAGTCAGAAGACAGTGGATGATCAATGTCACCTTAGAAAGGACTTCCCTAACCATCCTATCTAAACCACCAGACCCTCCCTTTCTCCCACTGTTACACTCAATGTCTTTACCTTGCATTAGTTCATAATTTCCATGTTGTGTGTGTCTCTCCACTGGAATGTAAGCTCCAAAAGGGCAGGATGTTAAAACATCCTTTGCCTTGTTCACTGCTTAATCCCCAGTGCCTAGAACAGTACCTAGTATTTAGTAGGTGCTCATTAAAAATTTGATAAGTAAAATGGTCTTCCAGGCAAAATAGTATAAAGGCAGAGGGGAGTAAAGCATTCTAGAACTACTCAGAGTTCGGCACATTTGGAGCCTGAGATGTGCAGTAGTGAGTGGGGGGAAAATAAAGCTGAGTGTGAGACAGATGCCAGATCATAGAGGAAATTGTAGGCCATGCTGTGGAATGTGGACTTCATTCTGTAGGTGGGGATTTTAGGCAGAGGAGTGTTGATATTCTAATTGCATTTTATAAAAATACTGTGTCAGCCCCCTGTGCCTGCCGAATTAGAGGGGTGAGTTTGGGATCAGGGAAACAAATGGGAAAGTCCCAGTGCAAGACGGTGCAGACCTAATCCAGACTAGGAGCAGTGAGAGAGGACAGATCTAGACAGCTCTTGGGAGGTAGAATGTGCAGTAGTTGGTGTGCAGGTAGATAGAAAGGATGAAGGAGAAATTTTTGGCTTGTGTGATGGGGTGGATAAGGAATACTGGGGGCAAAGTCGACTTTAGAAAGATGGTATGTTAATTATCTATTGCTGTGTAACAAATTACCCCCAAACTTAGCAGCTTACACTAGTAAACTATTGTCTCACAGTTTCTGTCGATCAGGAGTCTAGGCCTAACCAACTGCCTGTGGCTCAAAGTCTCTCACAAGGCTGCAGTGAGCATGTTGGCCAGGACTGCAGTCATCCCAAGGCCTTACTGGGAAGAGATCCTCTTTCAAGCTCACTCACATGGCTGCTGGCTCAGGTCCCCGGTTCCTGCCCCCGGCTGTTGTCCCACCTGGGCCTCTCCACTGGGCAGCTCACAACACAGAGGCTGGCCTCCCTCAGAGTAAGCGAGCAAGAGAGTTGAGGGAATGCATGCCAAGGTGGAAGTCACAATAGTTTATAACCCAATATTGGTAGTGACGTCCCATCATTTCTGCCCTATATTATTAGAAAGAAGTCACCAGGTTCAGTCCACACTCAAAGAGAGGGGATTATGCAAGGGCATGAACACCTGGAGGTCGGGGTCATTGGGACCTTAGAGGTTGCCGACCACAGATAGTGAGCTTGGAGATGTTTGATTTGAGGAGTCTGGGACCTCAGTTGGAATGCTCTGGAGGCAGGAGGATGTGTAGTTTTGTATCTCAGGAAAGAATCCCCTCTCCTTGGAATGTAGCTTGGAGCCTTCACATTAGTGTTCTCCCCAACTTTGGAAGCAACTGGAAGGCTAGAGATCTTTGGATCCCCAGGGACCCCTCAAGTAGGAGGTGAGCAACACATACGTGCTGACTGAATTACTTGGAGGAGGGCAGAGTATCGCATAATCGAAAAGGTCTCTCTCTTCTCTCTCTCTCTTACCATTTGACAATTCCTGCTCTTCCATGGAACCAGAGAGAGGCCTCCCCCTTTCTAAGCTGCAGGTTTCTGGTCTTTACAAAGCAGGTATTAGACTAGATTAGTAATTTTTTTCAATGGAATTTTTTCCCTAGGAACCCCAGTATGGAATATAGGTAAGAGTTGATCTGATCTGGCCTCTCCAGTGCTTTCCCAGAAAGAAAAACACCCCGTTTTGAAAAACACTGGATCAAGTAAATCCCAATTTTCTGCCAGCTCATCATTCTTGGATTTTATGACAAGATCCTCTCTAAGCTCCTTCCCGTTCTATGATTCTGTTTATTGAGATCCATTGGTGCAACATATTTTATTGAACTTTTGAAAAGAAAACAACTCATATTTCCTTGATCTTGTGAAAAAATACATATACTAAAGCTGACTTTCATTAAATACTTACAGTCAGGCACTGTGCAAAATACATTCTATCTTTATTTGGTCCTGCTTCCCTGCTTCATGAGGGCAGGGACTTGGTCTAGTTCATCACTGTATTTCCAGAAGCTAAAATAGTTCCAGGACATAAGGAGCATCTCAATAGCTATTTTACATATGAATGAACTAAGGTAAGGACTGTTCTTATTCCCATTTTACAGCTGAGGAAACTGGAGCTTAGAGCTGCTAAGGAACTTGCCTGTAGATACACAAGTTAAAGGCAAAACTAAAATTTGAAATTAGCTCCTCTGGACTCCAAAGCCACCGATGCCATTTCCTGTCAGTGAGACGAGTAGGAAACTGGAAAGGGAGTCAGCATATGTTGAGTCATCATAACTCCTGTATGATGAACATAGTCCTAGGTACCTTTTCCTTCCACGATCAACTGCCCGGCAAGGTAGCCACTGTTATCTCCATTTACTAGTATAAACACAGTAAATGAGCTCCAAGAAGCTAAGTACCATACCGAGAGTTGTTTAACTAGAATGAGAGACTGAGCTGGAATTGCAGCCTTGGTCTTTCTGATTCCAAACCATTTTTCAACTACATGCATCCAACATCTTCAATTACAGGCACCAAAGTTTGGGTTCTGGAAAATATGCCACTGGCAGGTTCAGGTCAGTATGGCTGAGGAGGTTTTGTCACCCCTTCTCCAACATTCTATAGCTTTGCATTCACGAAACCGCTGTGTGTTGAACTGGAATGAGTCCAGCAGGCTGAGAAAGTGGGAATCCAAACTTCTAAGATGTAGCAAAAAATAAACGTTGATGACCAAGGATGATAAACGTTGGTACTGCAGCCCGCCATTCCCTGTGGCCTCATCCACATCACATGTCTCAGACCAGGTCTGAAGTTAGACGGATGATGTCACCAGAGTCTCTTAAAGGCCTCATCACTCATATCCACTTGTCATATATTATTAAGCAGATCTATAATACATGTAACATTTTCTACTGGATTACCATTTTTTTCGTTTCATGACCAGGGAAAGAAAAATAGTGTGAGGATGACTTTTCCCAGCTTCTCATCCTTATTGCCCTTCTTTGAAGAATAACCTTGTCTTGAATTATCCCCCCAAATGGTCAGTTAGGCTCTGATTTCATTAATAAGGATAAAGCCACAGTTTAATAATTATCATTTAACTGATACATATTCT